ATATATATATATATATATATATTCTATAGAATCAATTAATATGTATATTATGTAGAAATAGATAGATAAATCGTATAATTACAAGTAAATATAAAATAATTCTATTTATCTATATTAGAAGCATGAATCAAGTTGTTAGAATGAAACAATATTTAAATATTATTTGTTGTTATTTTTTAATTCCTTAAACACCGTCCAATGATGGATTCGAAATTTTATAAAAATATCAAATTATCTTTTTAAAAAGAAAGTTTTTTTAATAATGATGTAATATTATACAATTAATGTCATATATATATTATTATATATATTATATATAATAATAAAATTAATTTTATCTTTAATCATATTTAAATTTATTGAAAAATTGTTAACATTATATTTATCAAATACTATTTTATATTTTAATTATAAATGAAGTTCAATTTAATTATAAATTCAAGTCTCGCGATCGAATTTTTCTCTTTCATATTTAATTCATATTATCATATTTTATATTTAATTTGTATAAAAATATAAGTGATAGAATGAAAGTGATAATACTTACGTTTATAGCATAAACTTTGTCTCGTTAATATTATGTATATCACTCTATCTATTTAAAGTTTATGGTATGAATAACATATTAATGTACAGATTCCACTTATCTTATAAAAATATTGTGTGTTGCTTTTATTGTATCGCTCTAGAATCAAAACTGTCTTTTTCTATGAAGAGAAAAAACGTGCCAAGACATACCTAATCTTTGAAAAATAGTAATGTCGCAAATGTGTACGACGTAATATATTTCTATGTCATAAAAAGAATATATATGTACAAGATCTATCTGTGAATATTATAACGAAATGATGTAATATAATTGATATTTTCCGTATAAAATATTAATTTTAAATATAATTTGTTGAATTATCCATATAAATATTATTCTTCATAGAGTAATATAATTTGTAATAAGTAATAATAGTAATAATATTTATTTTTTTGATAATTTTAAAAATATATTAAAACAATTTTTATATTTATTAAAGAAAAATAATATAAATTATAATTTTGAAATAAAGTTTGAATATTCAAACATATCGATATTTTATTGAATATTAATAAAAGTTGACTTAGAGGAATATTTCTCATAATCTCATTATCTGTTAGATAATAATTATAATAATCTACATATTTTTTTAAATAATATAGTATAGCGTGAAAAATAATTTATTAAAATGAAATAATGGCGTAAAACAGTCACATTACACTTTAAATAATACTCGCATATAGTACAACAGATTGCAAAAAATAGATTCTTTTTGTGAAAATATTTTACTACTTATAAAAAAATTTAATAAATACAAAATATGTATATCTTTGTAGTATTTTTATCATTCAATGTTTTTAATATAGTTACTGTAAATTCTTACAATATATCAAAAATATACGTGTGTGCATATATTTAAATGTACAATTGATCACGAGCACGGTAATTTCGTCTTGTGTTCGATGATTAAGCGTTTTAAAATCCAACAAATTTAAGTTGGGTTTCAATCAAATCTGACTTAGTTATATTATTTCGTCAAATTCATTTTTTTTTCTTTTCTTTGATTAGATTACAATTATATTCGAATCATTTATACAAAAGGTTTTAATATATGCAGAATAAATTCAATGAATTATACAAAGATTGTGTCACGCTTGTATTGTATCATCACAAATTACGAACCTCGAAAATATTAAAAAATCAACGCATAAAAATACGATGATATGCAGTACAGTGGCACAGTTTCAGTGTTATGTTTCATAGAAGATGTTTCGTAATTTGCGATTATATTAAAATTTGTTCTATAAACAATAACTGTAAGTTTTTACATAAGTTACGATGATTCCTTTTATGTGTATGCAGGAACGTATATACATTATTATGTATGTGATAATGTAACTGTGAAACGTATATATGGCATTTTTAAGTCAACACGACTCGTATTTAAATTAAAATTCTCTCAAGAATATCATGAATATAATATCCTCTTAAAAAAAATGAAAAAAAATAAAAAAAGGAACAAAACTAAATCACTACTGCCTGATACGTGCATTACATTACACAATTGTATATATATATATTAGTTACATGTCGTACAAATGAATATCTTTGATTAATATCTATTGTCACATTGAATTAAAATTTTATTTTTTATATATATATATATTTT